ATCCGGATTACAACCCTAGAAATAACCCAGACAACAGAAATGACAACAAAATAGACCACCAAAACTTCTCCCTGGCTAACCAAGAATAGAGCGACTTTCCAATCACCAAACTCAGCATCTTAACCACTGACTTCTGCATCAACAATACTAGGACCTTCACAAGTCTCCATCATATTGTTCTTAACAAATTGCTTTTGGATTCCCTGTGCCTGCTCGTTCTTAGGATCAACCTCTGATAGCGCTGAAAGTTTCGTAGTGCGTGGAACTCCGAGGATCTCAGAAGAATTCTCATATTCCTTTTCAAAATAAATCATACCCACCATATGCATCTCATTATGCACAGGTGACGGAATTTGAGTAGTGTCTGTTGCATCTGGATTTTGCACAACAATGTCTCCTGCATCAATAAGCTTCTGAATCGCATTCTTCAGATTCCAACACTTCTCTATGTCATGCCCCGGGGCATCTGAGCAATATGCACACCTTTGAGAAAAATCAAACTTCTTTGGAAAAGGGTTTGGCATTTTTATCTGGATCAACTTCAACATGTTGAATTTCCTTAGCCTCTAGAACAGACTGGCTTATGACTCTCCCAATGGAGTGGAGTTTTTCTTCTTCCACAACCTCTCGTTCTTAAATTCTTGATTGGGCCGGAAACCTGATCCAGGGGGGTTTCGGTAGGCTCGTGGGGGTGGATAGGCATTTTGTGGAGCTGGGCACTAGGAAAATGATGTACGACTTTGGAAATTCTATTGAGAGAAGTGGCATTGAGGAGGATCATCTGGTGCATAAGGATATCTACGGGGACAATGTCAAGGTTGGAAGTGTTGATCGGGGAAGCCCATCGAATCATCTTTTCTGTTTCTCTTTCTTCCACCCATGCTTACTGGGATGTTCTGAATGTCTTTCGAACAACTCATGATTTTGCCTGATTTGATTCCCTCTTCTACCATCTCCCATTTTTAACACATCATTGAAAGCCTTTCCCAAGGCCGGGATCAAATGACTGAAGTAGGTGGGTCCCTGGGCTTGTCGAAAAAGCTCAACCATTTCTTCTTCACCAATCGGGGTACTGACTCGTGCAGCTTGCTCCCTCCATCTGAGCCCAAACTCCCTAAAGCTTTCCTCCGGCTTCTTCTCCATTCTAGATAGGGAAGAGCGGTCTGGGGTAACGCCTGATTTGTATTGAAAGTATCGAACAAAATTTTGAGCTATGTCACCCAATGTAGGCCACTTACCAAAATCTTGACTATTATGCCATTCCAAAGCTGCCCCAGTCAAGCTCTCACAAAAATACGCCATCAACAAATCATCTTTCTCGCCAACACTTCTCATTTTACTACAAAAGACCCTCAAATGGGCTACCGGATTTCCACACCCATCATACAAGTTAAATTTTGGCACTTTAAATCCCGCGGAACGGAGAACGTCAGGGGACACAGACAGTTCTTTGTAAGCCATGCTATCCTAGTCTCCCATTCCTTGCTTGTTCTTTAAGGATTGTTCTATGCCTTTCAATGTCCTGGGTATCTCATCACGCCCTTCTTTTCCTGTGACCTTTTCATTTCCAACATGAGTCTCATCCCATGGGCCCTGCTTGTATGAGTTGGGAACCTTGTGGGCAACCTCTGAGGGGTAATATTGGGCATCGTGAGCTTTGAGTGGGTGTTCATTATTGGGGATGGTGGATAAGACAGGAAGGCAATTTTTGGGAATGGTAATTGGAAGATGGGTGATAGAGCTACTAGGGTGGTTGGGAAAGCCACGATAAGCGGGTGAATCTGGAGAGTATGGGGGATCATCTGGCACTGTGACCTGTGTTTGGGTAAGGGAAACATTTAGGAAGCTAGGAGGTAGCGGGGGTGGTGCCTTCCCAGTTATCCAAGCATGATACATGTCCGTAATGTGTAGTCTTAACATCCTTACCTCATCAGCCAAACTGGTGTCCTGTTCAACCAATTGATTTCGGGCACCGGTATCAACCAACCCAATTCTGTTGTTGTCTGCCATTGCCTTTTGATTTTATGTTGTAGAAGGGAGTTATTACTTCAAGAACCATAAACCAACCAACCTTCTGCGATGAAGATAACAAAATGAAGTCATCATGTCAGCGTTAGGGCATTTAACATAATATAATATCATATTGTGTGCAATGCACCTAGTCGCAATTATTGGTTCTAAAGTGACTTCGAGGGTATGAAGGTCATTTGGCATCATCCCAATTTGTTCATTTCAATCCTTTCTTTTCTTTGCTTTTCTAGCACCTCTTGGCTTGCCCATTTTCCTTCATTTCTCTTTTTTCTAATTATCACTCTTTTCTTTTCTCTCATTTCTCACATCCCATAATTTCACCTCTTTTTTTCTTCCTTTTTTCTCTCTTTTTTTCCCTTTTTTTCTTTTTTTTAATAAATAAAAAATGATCCGATCGAACCCTATGTAGGTTGCCTACGTATCATAATGCCACATGAATCAAATCTTTGAATTTTTTAGAAGCAAATCTTTTTTTTTTTTTGAATTTTTTAGACTGAATGCTCTATAACCTATTTTAAACTCAAGCTTAATGAGCATGTTTTTTTTTTTGAAACAAATACTCTATTAAGGAAAATCCTAGAAGAGAAAAATCCCATTTTTATTCATTTTTTTATGAAGAAAATCTAAAGAATAAACCACAGAAACATATTTGAATTTTCATTTGATATCCTGACGCAAGATTTCGAAACAATCAATAAACAAAATATTTTTGGATTTCAATTTTGATTGCCTAAAAGAAAAATTCTAATGATAGACAAAAGACAAAGTATGTTTTTTTTATGTACAATATCCTAAAGTTCTAATGAAAATAAAAAAAATTCCATTTTTTACTAATTTCCCAAAGAAACGCCTCAAAAGAAAATCTTTTTGGATTTTGGAATTAATGTCTTAAAGAAAACTTTTAAAGAGGTACTAAAAGAAAATTCCTTTTTTTTTTGAATTTTGGTCCTAATATACTAAAGGAAACATAAAAACAATTCATTTTAAATCCTACATATTAATTGCCTAAAGGAAAAACAACCTCAAAATTTTTTCATTTCTAGAATTAGTATTCTAAAGAAAATTTATAACGAAATATAAAATAAAACATCTCTCTCCCTCTTTTTTTTTGACTTGTACCACATTTCCAAATGCAAAATAAGAAATACAATAAAAAAGACTATGCAAACTTAACTAGACAATACAAACTCTAACATCACCTAAAAGACTAAATATACATGACTAGAAAATAAAACAAAAATAATTGACTTAAAAACATAAAACGGCTCCTCGAGCAGCTCCTGAATGCAGTGATCCTAGGATATCTGTCATGCTCAAACTCCGGTAAATAGATCCACACCTGTATGAGAAAACTTAAACCAACACTATGTGAGACAATAACATTCCCCGCGACACATGCAAGACATGATTGAGGCTATTTTTGCAAAATGGCTTATTTGGCCAAAAGGTCGCTAGAAGTGCAAAATTTGGCTAACACCCTGCAAAGCCAAGAACCTAAGATTTACTAGGAAGACTGGACCCTATGTGAGTTGCATACGTATCACGCCCCGGAAGACGAGAATCAGGTTTGCGTAGTTCGGGCAGATTGGATACGGGCGAGAATAATTTAAAAAAAAATAACTGACGCATAGAAAACACATTTTTTTCTCTTTATTTTTCGAAATATGATGAAATATATAAAATCTTTTTGGATTTTCTTTTTCCCTTTTTTTGATTTTTTTTTATTTTTGAAAAATGATAAAAATTGCAAAATCTTTTTGAAGTTTCATTTTCAATTTTTGCTTGAAAAAGTGTGAAAGAAAATCATAACTGGGCCCCACTTTCTTCATCTTCACACTTCACCCTCTATTTTTCTTCTCTTTTTTTATTTTTTTTCATTTGCCCTCAACTAATATTGGTCCTCCAAATGACCCTTTTACCCTTGAATAAATGCAGCATGTAGCACATAAGATGCATCACGATGATCTTTTATTTTTTTGGGGTATACCTGTCCTAGACGGACCCAACCCCTGTGTTGAGTCCCCTAAGTCAAGTGCACATGATGCAAACAAGCGTTCCAACTAGGGATCCGACATGAAGTTGAGTTATTCTAGGTTCAAAACCTTGGCATTCGTTCTAGACTTGTGTACCCGAGCGGACAACTCGAGTCGAGGAGGGGGCTACGTACCAGGAACCAAAAGGACATCCGACTTAGTAACTTGTCTGAGCCTCTTTCTTATTTCAAGGTATGACACTAACAGAATAGGGAGTCTCGACTAGCGAGCACATCTCTGAAGATGAGAAGAGAAGGGTTTCGTAATAGTTTATATACAGTTCAGATAATATCAAAGCGGTAAAAGCAACATTTAGCACATTAGGCCCAAACATGTAATAAAATCAGATAATAGATAAAGTCAAATATAACATTTCATCTAAGCTCGAATTTCGAACCCTGAACCAGAAGTTCTAGGTTCTTTTCCCCAGTAGAGTCGCCAGAGCTGTCACACCTCCTTTTTACCTACACCCCCGAAAGGGTGTATAGGGGAGTTTTTTCCAATTTAAGTGACAATCCAAACAGGATTATTTATTTGAAATTCAGAGTGGTCACATGGGAGAATTTTATGGTGTCCTAAGTCACCGGTTCAAATCCCAAATCGAGGAAAATATTAACTCTGTATTACAGTCTACGAACACAGAAATCCAGGTAAGGAATTCTGTTAACCCGGGAGAAGGTGTTAGGCATTCCCGAGTTCTGTGGTTCTAGCATGGTCGCTCAACTGTTATTATTGGCTTATTATCTGATTTTAAATAATTATGAACCTATGTGCAATTTTTAACTTTTAACCGCTTTTGTTTAATTATTTATTAGGAGAAAGATTCAACATTATCTAAAACGCGTCTTGAACTACGTCACATAAATGCACTCGCGGTCCACGACACATTTTATTTAACGTTGTCAAAATTTGAATTTGGGTCACATAAATGCGCACCCGAGTTTGGAAATTAGGTATCATAACTATGTCAAGGGAACCGTACCCATAGCCACGATGGTATATTAAGAGCGTATCCAGAAGAATACTAACGATATGAATTACTTGTAAAAAAAACAGAATAAAGCATACTTCCTCACTGGCGAACTCAACCAGAGCAGTGCCACAAAACATCCTTTTGTCAGCTACATGACGAGGCAGTCTCACACTATTAACCATGCCATGCTGACCAAAGAAGGACTCCACATCTTCAAGCTTGACACTATATTCCAATAGGGATACAACAATTGTCCTGACATCTATTTGCTCTATAACTTCCTCAGGCCTCGAAAACTCTGTGATTTCCGAAATCTTAAGAAACGAAGAAATTTTTAAAGCTTCAGCAACAGCTTGTATAGTATCATCTGATGTCCCTTCTTGCTTTGACACTCCCAAACACAAATGAGACCTCATCCGTGAAAACGACCGTATCAAAGCCAAACTTACCAAGCCATCTTCACTTTCAAATTCTAGGTATAATGGTATAGCAATATACATTTCAAGATAGGCAATAATCATTGAGCCTAAATGCCCGTTTCTACAACATTATAAGTAGTCACTAACATTGCGACAAAATAGAACCAAACTAAAACAGCACACACACGCCATTGTGTAAACTAGAAATCGAGCAAAAACGTCATTCTATATCAAAATACACAATGAAGGATCACTATAAATTAATCAATAACAATGTTCAGCAATAGACCTCAATCCGATAAACTATGGACGGAGCTCAAACCAGAAACCAACGATAGTACCTAGACGTATGACTGAATCGAAAACTCGGGTAACGACCTCCGACGAACTCGAAGCTCACCGAAAAGAGATGCTAAACGAGCTTGAGTTGATAAAACTTACTAGTTGTTCTGTTTCATGGGTGGCTATGGAGGGTGGTCGTTTGGCGTGGTGTTTCTGTTGCTGGCGACGGACAACGACTGGTTGAAGGCTGGGCGCTGGATTTTGGGTCTGTCCGGCGGGTCAAAGCTGCCGAGATGGGTTGGGGAGCTAGGCGTTGATGGGCAGCTGGCAACGAGGATGATGGAGTGAGTATATGGAGTCGTTCGGGGTGGTTACTGGCGGATCTTGGCTTTTCTTGTGTCTTGGTTGAAGAAAATCAAGTTTCAAGGGCTGTTGTTTTGCTGAAAGAAAATGAACGATCAGGGAGGGGTGGGGTCTTGTGAAAGGCTGCGCAGCTTTTCCCAGTTTTTTCGTTCAGTGTTTTTTTCTTCTGACTTTTTTAGTCTTAGGCCTCTTTTTATATTGTAGAGTCTAGGTCTAGATAGTTGTAGGGTTTTTTGGTTAAGGGGTATGGGCCTAGGAATTGTGGGCTTGGAAATTATGGGCTAGGTCCAAAATTAGGCCTAAAAATGGGTTGCTCGAGCCCAAGTTCTATTCTTTCCCTGCGAACTAGATTAAAAATACGGTCCCATTTATTAATTAATCCTGCTATTCAAATAATTATTAAAATAAATCTAACCAATAAAACAAATCTATTTTTGGTATTTTCAAATATCATATTAAAATAAAAATACGATACTATTTTTTGTATTTTTTTTAAGATTAAAATGACTACAAAACATTAATGAACATATTTTTGTAATTTTTGTTTTCTTGTAATAAAATAAAGTAAAAGAGTCAAAATTACTTAAAATATCTATATTATGCCTAAATTAAATATTTACGCGCTAAAATATGAAAAATCTTGGGGAGGGTAAAAAATCACATGTCTACAGTTGGATTCGACATTTACAGACAACTTAGAGATCAACTCCAGATCAAGGCTAACGGGATAGATTTTAAGAAGCAGTTCAAACCTTATTCTGAGATTCCAAGGCTATTCCAAATCACCAACGACGAACAAATCAAAGAGATTGAGCAAAATCTCATTAAGCACTCATGTGCTGAATCCCACAAGGACTTTACGAAATAAGGGAAAAGCCCGTTATTGAAAAATAAAGCATTTTTTATCAAGCTCCCTTTCAAGAAGAATGAAAACATCAATCCAACAAAAGCCACTCATTTAGGTATGAATCCAGATCATCTTTAGCTTGCAAAGAAAGAATGCGAAGAACTTTTGGAATTTGAGATAATAGAGCCAACAGATTCACAATGGGCATGCGAAACATTTTATGTCAACAAAAGAGCAGAGCAGACAATAGGAAAACTCAGGTTAGTTATTAACTACCAGCCACTTAACCACTTCCTCCAAGATGACAAATTACCTATCCCAAATAAACTCACTCTTTTCTCCCACTTAGCCAAGGCCAAATATGTTTCCAAGTTTGATCTAAAATTTGGATTTTGGCAATATGGAATCCACCCTGAAGAAAGACCCAAAACAGGATTTTGCATCCCGGATCATCACTTCCAATGGAAAGTCATGCCCTTCGGATTAAAAACTGCACCTTCTTTATTCCAAAAAGCCATGATAAAAATATTCCAGCCCATCCTCCATACCTCCTTAGTTTACATTGATGACATCCTGTTATTTAGTGATATATTGGAGGTACATGCCAAGTTGTTTTGTCAATTTGAGGCATTGGTAACACAGTACGGAATCATGCTCTCAGCAGAAAAGATGGTTCTTGCTCAAAAAGAGATTGATTTTCTAGGAATGCATTTTCTCCAAGATGCATATAGTCCAGGACCCCATATATGTCAGGAACTACTCAAGTTTCCATATACCAGCCTCACAACAAAGCAGATACAACAATTCTTGGGTGTCGTAAATTATGAAAGATATTTCATCCCAAATATCTCTACATACATTTCTCCGTTCACAGAGATACTCAAGAAAAATGCTCCATCATGGGGAAAGAAACAAGATGAAGCAGTCAGGGAAATAAACGAGATATCTAAAAATATCAAGTCCCTCTACATCCCTTCAGATGGAAAGAAGATACTGTAAATTGATGCAAGCAATGAATATTAGAGTGCTGTTCTATTTGAAGAAAAAGATGGCCAGAGGAAAATATACAGATACACCAGTGGAAAGTTCAAAGATGCCGAGAAACATTATCACTCCACTTTCAAGGAAATTCTTGCAATAAAGAATGGAATCAAGAATTCAATTTCTTCCTTATTCATACAGAATTTCTAATAAAGATGGATATGAAGGCCTTCCCAAAGATGATCCAGATAAATGCAAAAATTATTCTGAATCCCCAGACTCTCAGGTGGGCTCAATGGTTCTCTCCATACAAGTTTCAAGTCAAGCATCTGAAAGGAAAGGATAATATTCTCACGGATTTTCTATCCCGACCGGAAGAATTCTCAAAGTGATTTTTCCCAGCAAAAATGACATCGAAACAAAAGCTAATCAACCATATCCTCATGTTCACAAATATACCGCGCACAATTTCCTTAAAGCCAACGGATCATCCGCCGGAATTGTTCATTCTCATAGATCCTTTTGATCCATCAATTATAATAGAATGAAGAACTTATTATGAGCTCCAAGTTTTCCGGAAACATGGAGGATCCATTCTTAAGCCTTATGGGGTCAATCCAGAATATCCATTCTGCCATATATTCATAGCACAAGCCAAGGATTTTCCACAGGAACTATTATGGTTTTTCTGGTACCTATGCCATAAGTATTATATTTTCATGGAATTCAAATGCAACGTCTTCAAGGATTTTGATAACATTAAACCAGCTCTTAAAGTATTTTTACTATGGTTCAAACCTAGACGATATTGGATAAAATATTTCAATGATTCCTACACAGCAGGTATTCGTGTTCCATAGGCCAGTGAAGATTATTAATGGAAAATTCAAGGCGCAAGCAGAGGCATCATTATGGTGGAAATTTCTCATGTCCATTTTATCAATGGAAGAAGAATATAGCGAGGCACAAAGAATCCTTTTCTAGCAAAATAGGTGAATCCCGAGAGAGATATGGCCAAAAGATTGGGCAAGCTAGAATTATACCTACACCCATCCTCACTGGGAAAGAGTCCGGGAAGCAGCAAAAGAATATCAAACCCCATATGAGGTCATCCGAGAAAAGATCACTCACGACATTTCCAGATTAAGGCTGCGGATTACATCTCTCAATCTAAAGGCGAAAGAACACAACAAAGAAGGACCGTAAAGTTCCAGGCGTTACTACACAAGGTCTTTTAAAAGATGCCTAGAAGACAATCCTAGAATAAATGAAGGATAATTATCTAAATCATTGCTCATTCCAATATAATCCTACATTACCTACCAAAAGTCCCTCAAAAAGCATCTACCCATGCCAAGATAAATTTTCACATCTTTCCATACTATCCGGGCCCCACTTTCACTTGCTTTCACATGCTTCCACATGCTTCGTCATATGCAACACCCTACTTTCACATGCCATCACATGCCCTAGCATACTTTCACATGCTATACCATGTATATTTCACCCCTTTCACATGTTTTCATGAGTTTTTTAGTTGTTTTGCCTGAAGTCCTTCACATGCCAAGAGGGACCCACTTGTAGATAAATTTTCCATGTAAGATAAGTTTATTTTATAATGTAAGTTTGTCTTTTAGTAGCCTCATAGTCCTATATAAAGGAGGCCTTGTAGTAGTTATAAGATCATCTTGTAACCTTTGTAAATCTTTTGTGGTATATTACATATGAGTGCTTTCTAAATTTTCCTCTTGTTCTTTCTTTCGAATGGATGGAAAGGCTGGTCCATGTATGAAAATAGAGTAAGAATACTCTTTGAAAGTTAGCTTATTGTGGTACAAAATTTTTCTGAGTTATAAATAGCTAACGTTGGTTACAGTACAAAAGTTGTCCGAGTTGTGTAGCTATGCAAACCATGTCGTCCCTTATGGGTTGTTGAAGTCAACCCTTTGTCACGACCCAAGTTCTCCCTCCGTGAACTGTCATGACAGCACCTAGTCTCTACGACTAGGTAAGCCTAACAATTGCGGAAAAAGAAATAAAATGCAGAAAAGCTAATAAAAACTGAAGATAAGCAAATATAAAAGTGTTTAAGATGCCGCTCGGAATATACTAATACAAAATCTCAAAAACTGAACAACTTCCCAAAACCCGAAATCTCATGAAATCACAAGCTAAGGATACTACATAGTGTTTTAACTCCAGAATGTCTAAAACAAAGTAAATGTAGAAAGGTTGTAACTACAAGAGAGAATAGAGAGGGACTCCTAGATTTGCGGACGCGAAAGATATACCTCGAAGTCTTTGAAGGATCATCTCGCCTAAAGGATGGTAGGGCTGAGCCGAAGATTCTGGATCTGCACATGAAAAACATGCGCAGAAATGGCATAAGTATACCACATCGGTACTCAATAAGTGCCAAGCCTAACCTCGGTCGGGTAGTGACGAGGAAAGTCAGGGCCCTATTGATAATAGATGAAATAAACAAGGTAAACAGTATAGAATACGACAATATAATTTAAGTGCTAACAGTCTATATCAATTAAAAACATAGAGGATATCTAACTCAATACACAAAAATAACAATAGGGGATCTCCCGGGATACCGTCCTGTAGTCCCAAACGTTGTAGACATGTAACTTTGACCCTCCCCAAGATTGTTTACACATTTTTAGCGTAAATATTTAGTTTAGGTCTAGTATGGTTATTTCAACTAATTTTGACTCTTTTACTTCATTTTTATCACAAAAAAGGGAAAATTAAAAAAAATAATAATATTTTCTTTATTTAGCTAATTGATATTTTATTTAGTTATTTTTAATTTATCTACCATTCATAAAATTTTAAAAAAAATACAAACAGTTTCACTTCTAAAATTTAGTTTTATTTTAGTAACTTATTTTAATTAAGATTGGTTATTATATTTTATAGATACATTTTGTTATTTAGTCTTCCTACCCCAAAGTTAAAACCCAATAAGACATAGTCCAACCCAATTTCATAAATCCAAACCCATATCAATTCCCCATTTGACCTAACCTAATTCCTACCCCCCCTATAAAATAATGCCTAATTCCTAAATCAAAAATCTAGACCTAGACACCCTAAGTTCACGACAACTTTCCTCTTTCTTGTTGACTGAGTTTCTCTTCATGGCTAACTTATGCTCTTCAACCCAAAAACCCCATAAAAATAATTCTGAAATTACCTTAAAACTCCATTAAAACTAGCAGCATCCTAGCCCCGAAAACAACCCAAATCGACACCAGCACACACAACCAAACTTCACCCAAAGTACCATTATTCCCCTGTTGAATCACT